GGAAGAGTTTTTGAGTTAAATGTGAAAATTAATTGGATTTAAATATTGAAGTTGAAACGTACCAAGAGAAATGGAAGAGTTTTTGAGTTAAATGTAAACATTAATTTGCAAAATTACTAAGAAAAAAAGTCAAAATGTGGAAAAAAAAGAAAAATAGGATCTTTGCATCGAAGAGATGCCACGTCAACCTATCATGATTTTGCTTTATAGATATATATAGATTGTTCTAACTGCCATACAGTTAACCGTTTAACTGTTAGTAACAGTGGATCTCTTATATAAATCCTACTTAATTATATTAAAATAGTTTATAGAAAATATAAAAAAATACAAAAAATAGTTTACTGTTTCAACAACTAAAAAATTGCTTTCATTGAGAGTCGAACTCAAGACCTCCCGCTTACTAAACGGGTGCTCTAACCAACTGAGCTATGAAAGCTTGTTGATGAACAGTTCAATTTCATTCCTCTCTACATCATTTATCTTGCATTCCATTGCGATCTAAAATATCAAGACGTATACCCGTGTGGGAGGAAGCAACAGGTGCAAATCGGCGACTGCGTTGGTTGCGTATTTCTCAGAAAACCCTTTTCATCGAACTCCAAGGTAAATACCCTAAATCAAATTTAAGTTAAATCGTAAAATTTTTGATTTCGATCTTTCTGTTATATAATTCATCGGTTGTTTTGGGTTTTTGCTTTCTGGGTGTTCGCTAATTTATTCGATTATGGAGCGAATTTTTCGTCTTTGGGTTTATGTTTTTGTGAAGATCTAGATTGTGTATGGATATGATTCTATTCGATTGAACTTATGGATAGCTGTTAGAACTACAACGAACTATTTTCTCCTCGATTATGGTGATGGATTATGTTGTTTCTAGAATTGAATCTGTTGAAATATGAGTTACTCTTATCGGTGTTCACTGGACTGATTAGGGTTTTATTCATTTCCATATCACTTTCTCTGCACTCTAGGGTTTTATTTATTAAAGGAGTTTGTTTCAGAGGCTGATTCTGAGAAGAAACCTGGCTCGTAAAACAAAATTAAAAGTAAGGGGCCGTTTACTATACACTTATTTGGTAAGGGCTTACCGGATAAATTTTCTTATCGGATGAACATGAGAAGGTCAAGAATCTTACCGGGTAAGAGCAATAAAAAGGATGGAGAGTCTTACCTGGTAAGTAAGGATGACGACTCTTACCCATAAGCACTTGCCCAATAACTTGTTGCATTCAATATGTTTTGATGTACTAAAATCTTACGCATGAAAATAAATTATAGTGTTGACTTCTATCGATAAGCACTTACCGATTAAGCATTTAGGTAAACGGCCCCTAAGAAGAAACACAAAGCGCGTTTTTTGATAACTACTAGTATCGAAAAGAAACTAAGATTAGTGTACATTAGAAATGTCACAAAAGTAGATACTCGTTGCAAGAGCAAATAACCAAGCGAAAGAAACCCAGTATATCCCACATAGAGGTAGGGTTTGGTGATGGTAGGATGTACCCAAGGGTTAGAGAGGATGTTTCCCGCTCACTTGCAAAACTAAAAATAACTGAGAACAAGTATCGTGATTAGCAATGAAGTGTGTGCAACCAAACGACAGGTATAATGCCATCGTTGGCATGCAATTATTCATTTACGTGCAAAGAAAGTAGTTCTTAACAGTTTTGAAGTTCATAAGGTGCTATGCTGTTAATATCGCGATATATCGTCGCTCCTAGGAAAAAAATCGGACCTTAAATATCGGTCAAAATATCGGGAACGATATTATCGGCGATATTTAGCGATTTTTAGTGATTTTTTAGCGATATTTTGAGATAAAAATCGGACCGATATTCCGATTTCTCAGTTCTCACAACATCAAGTCTTCGACTTCTTCTTCTCACAACGTCTTCTCTTTTCTCGGTCTCTCTTCTCGATCTCCTCCGTTTTTCTCTGTAACCGACACAACATAGCCAGCGATAGGGATGGCAACGGGACGGGGATGGAAGAAGCCGATGGTCGATTGCTGGTCTGCTGCTCACTCTACCGGCCGTCGCTTACAAGGGTCAAGGGGGGAAGGAAGGCGATGGCGGTCGACGGATATGCGTACGTCTGTGAATTGTGATTTGTGATCTGTCTCCTGTGGCCGGCTGGTAAGTGGTAGGCGGTAGCTATCGCTTAGAAATTTAGAAGTGCTCCAGGCCTCCGGTCCAAATTTCAAAAGGCCCAAACCCAAATGAGTAACAGACCATTAGACTAACAGTCCCAAAGCCCAAATGACTAATTTTATTATTTATTAGATGATGTGATGTTTTAATTTTGAAACTATATTTCTAAACTCTAATTAATGCATATTATATATATAATTCTAAGATATATTATGTTAACCGCTATTTTGGACCGATATATCACCGATATGACCGATATATCGAATATCGGTCCTGACCGATATTTCGTATTATGACCGATATAACAGCATAGGTAAGGTGTTAGTTTGATTTTTAAGGTGCTGAAGTCTTAAAGTCTTATTTCACTTGTGATTGATAAGAGGTGGTGTTGAAGTCTGAAGTCTTATTTCAGTTCTGATTGATAAGAGGTGGTACTGAATGAAATCTCAACCAATAAAACTGTTTGTTTTTGTAAACTGACAAATGTCTGAATATATATAATTATCAATTTTATCCCTCAAAATGTGTTACTGTTGAATTTGTAAAACCACTAATTAATTATAAATAAAAGCATTCGAATAACGACTTGTTCAACATACCCAAATATCAAACATATTACCAATTAGCAACCTGTTCAACATGTTCAAATACAAAACAAAGAACCATTGAGAGAGTTTGGAGAGAAACAGATTGATTGGTGCTCAGGGTGAAGTTGAGAGCCGAGATGAAGCAGATCTGTCGTTCTGAAGCAGATTGGAGTCGATTCAAAAGGATTTCCAGAAACAATTTTGGGTTTCATGGTTTTGGTAGAGATCAATTGGAGTCGATTTAAAGATCGATTGGAGAAAGCTTGGAATGTATTCAGGAGCCAAGAGTCACAAGAGGTTGATTGAGCGGATAAGAGGAGAAATAAGGGGTTAGGTTATCACTTATTTTTTCAGAACACGGCAAGACATAAGAGGCTCTAAAAAATTGGAAAAAACAAACAGTCTGAATTGCTCTATCTCTTATCGAATCAAACCAATCAGGCGCCCTTTTATTACCTATGCATATGTAAAAGGCGCCCGACATCCTTAATATTTCAGAATCACCAAAACCTTCCATCCGTCCTTATTCTTTGTTTTTTGATATCATAGACTTGACATACAATGGGAAAGGATGCGAAGGGCGGAAAGGGTAAAGCAAAACAGGCAGGTGGGAGTGAGGACGGTGGTGCAAAGGGGAAAGCGAAAGGTGGGAAGAGTGCTGATGGCCTCGGTACCTGCACATATGTAAAAGGTTTCGTCTTCACCTATCCGCCTCTTTAATAGATAATATGTCTATTGTTTTAGATACAACATACAATGTGCTTTGCTTTTTTCCCCTTGAGTGTGTTATTTATGTTTATAAAACCAAACCAAACGAATCCAGTATATTCCACCTGGAAGTGGGGTATGGGGAAGATAAGATGTGCACATACACGACCACTTCCAAATAGTAGAGGAGCTGTTTCTGGCAAAGCCCTTGCTTGTGAAAAGTGTGATGAAGGGAGAAAGACGTGATTTTTTTTAAAAGTTGGTTAAGAGTATCTTATGATGGGTTTATTTATTTAATAGTTCCATCAAGAGGTAATCTCTGAATCATTAAGAGGTGAATCTTGTTTGGCAAAAAAAAAAAGTCTGTCTCTTTAATGGTTCAAAAACCCTCCGAATGATTTTGTATCTTGGATCCCCCTTAACCATTAAGAGCCCTAATTTCATTGTACACAATTACCAAACAATTATATTTCATTTTGCATTATATCATGAGAGCCACTTAATCATTCCACACCAAACCATTCAGCAATTGCCAAACAGCCTCTTACTTTGATTTTATTGAGTTTGATTCAGCGAGGCATATCTTGTGTGAAAAGCAAGGTAAGATCAATGAAGCATACAAGAAGCTGCAAGATGGATGGCTTAGCAATGGAGACAAGGTTCCTCCAGCTGAGTTTGCAAAGGTGAAGTATTCATTGGATTTTCGTAATAGCGAATGTTTGCAGATACCAATAAGCTATGACGACGCTATATGTCTTCTTGGTGTGTTTATGTTTTCTTTTGGCAGATAGCGGCTGAATATTCAGAATGCCCGTCGGCAAAGAAAGGTGGAGATCTTGGTTGGTTTCCACGCGGGAAGATGGCGGGACCGTTTCAAGAGGTTGCGTTTAACACAGTTGTCGGAGCAACCAGTCCACCGTTCAAATCAACGTCAGCATACGATTCATTAACTTTTGTTATGTGGTTTTCTGATTCTGATTAAAAGTAACCAAGTTGATGATAACAATGCAGGCATGGGTATCACATCATCTTGGCGGAAGGACGGAAGAATTAGAGGAGGAAGACGATGACCATGACCATCATAATAAACCTCAAATGGTTTTATGTCTCTTGAACATGTGAAACATTTTTATTAGGATTCTGCATTTTGTTATTTGATGATGTATCAAACTGATTTTTGTTTTCATAATAATTAAATATTTTATGTATAATTTTTTTTCAAAATTTAATTAGAAGTTGTTTGTTTACCTCTTAATAGTTACACATTAAGAGGCAGCCTTTGAACCACAAGGGTGGTGCCTGATTGGTTTGAGCTTGACTCCAAAGGTGAAAAGTACCTCGAGGTCTTAGGTTCAAATCCAAGAAGGAATAAAAATTCATTTGTGGCCATGAAGGTTCAAATGTGATGACTCCGGGCTATTTTAGAAGTTGTTTATTTACCTCTTAGTAGTTGCCTGATTGGTTTGAGCTTGGCTCCAAAGGTAAAAAGTACTTGAAGGTCCTAGGTTCAAATCCAAGAAGGAATACAAATTCCTTTGTGGCCATAGAGGTTCAAATGTGATGACTCCGGGCTATTTGCAAAGCAGGTGGTCGCTCTGAGATTAGTTGGCTTGTATAGTGAGTTGGATATCCAGGTTAATAAAAAAAAAGGGCAGCTTTTGAATCGTTAAGAGGTAAATCTTGTTTGGTAAAAAAAAGTCTCTTAATGATTCTAAAACCCTCTGAATGATTTTGTATCATGAGTCTCTCTTTAACCCCTAATTCATTGTAAACAATTATCAAACAATTATATTTCATTCTGCACTATACCATGATAGTCTTTTGATCATTTAATCATTCTGTACTAAACCATTCAGCAACGGCCAAATAACCCCTTAGTAATTAAATAATTTTTGAAAAATATTTATCAATTAATAATTAAATATTTTATAAAAATTGTATATCAGTTAATAATAATAAATTGGTAATTACAGAGGCTAATGTCGATGAATCGGTTAATATGACATAGATCGGAGAATGGTTAAATGCTTTTTTGGAAAAGAACTCCTTGTTAACTGCTTCAACTTTCGACTAGGGCAGCAACTCTCTCTTGCACAACTCATCTGAACAACCCAGATCTGATCTACTTTCAAAACCTATTCATCGATTCCTAACCTTAATAGCTTATTCAAAAAGTCATTTTATATGTTTGTTGATGGAGTATGAATGGAAAGATGAAGTTTTTGAGTCAAAAAGTATAAATAATATTGGAAATATAAAAGAAAAAACAAAATTGATAGGATCGGGGGTTACACTAGCATCCATTGAAACCTCCAACCCGATTTAATTGATATAATTTATTGTTGTGTTTATTTGATCATTAAAATTAAAAATATTTAAAATTATAATAAAAAATTAAAGTAAACACAAAATCGAGAATTTTATTACTCATTAATTTGACCACCATATCAATATATACTAGAAGGGAACTCACGCAATGCAACGAGATATATTTTGATTTTAATATTTCATTTTATTTTTTATTTCAGTTGATGTTATAGTGTGGTCTTATATGATTTTGAAAAACGATTATGTTTTTTATTTTTGAATAAAATATAAATTTGAATATATCATAAAATTTTGATAAAAATATAACGATATTAGTATCCAATTAACTATTTAAAATTCCTCTTTTTTGTGTAATTTTTTAATTCAATTTTTTAATTATAATTTAATTTAGGTTCAATAACGAAGTACTTTATATTTGGTTTAATGATATAATTTTTTTATAAAAAGATAATAATTAATTATTTTGTTATAACTCGATAATTATCTTAACTATATTTTAGATTTTTTACATTTTAAAATGAGATATTTATCATTTATTTAATTATATTTATCCACAGTTAGTTACACGAATTCAAACATAAAACTTTAATAAGTTATGCTTATATATAATTTATTTGTAATCTTGAATTTTAAATAATATATATCAATATACAATATTTTATTTATAAAAAATGGTTTTTAATTTTTTTTTCACATACTATAATATAGTAGAGATACAATTAAAACTATTTTCCATAAATAAAAAATAACCCAAACAGAAAACACAAATTTGATTCGTTTCTGTTTTCGAATGTTCGATTTTTTCAAAGGTTGGATTGTTTTGGGGGTTTTTCTTTCAATCTTGCGGTGGGTGGCTCTTATTTAAATTATGGTTGAAAGAACTCGGCACCCTGTTGGTCCCACATCCACAACTCATTTTACCTTCAGCCTCACCCCTAGGCCAACCATTGCAGATAAGCAATCTATCCGACACACGTCAATCCTATAGTCTTCTTCGTCCCATTCTTGCAGCAAAGTATTTGATTTTGAGGATCGCTCTCAAAAGAATTATATTGCAAGATCGCACCTCTTGAAGTCATACCCACCAACTGTTTGATAGAAGGATTCATTGAAGAAGCCAAAAGAGAAAAATAATGACAACTGCTTCTTTGGGTTCATCAACCCTTGTTCAATCACAGATTAATGGGTTTGGCAAGTTTCTAAAACCCTCTGGCTTTCAATCAAGTTCAGTCGCTTGCGCAAGGTAAAATTCCCTTTTCTTGAAGTTGAGAATTTTGACTATATATGTTTCTTGGATTTGAAGAAAACTCTTGGGGGTTTAAAGGGCTTATTTAGAATTAGATAACCTTTTTTAATCTTGTTATGGTTGTGAATTCTTGAAGGGAACTGAGGGTTCTTTTTGTTCATTTATTAAATTGAGTAATTCTTAATTTCCTCTTCTGTAATATCTCATGTTTATGATCGAAATGCTAGCTGTTTGATTATAGAGAAGGAAATATAAACATGATTCTTTTCTCTTCGAAGCAGTAAGAGAAGAGATTGCAGTTTTTTATTCCCCATTTTCCCTGGAATTCACTTCAGGCATGTGGCTGAATTTAGTAGATAGCAAGTTGAAATGCTTTCCTTATCTGGGGCAACTGTTAGATTGATGTGATGGGAATCTTATCTTTGTTGACGGCCAGTTCTATTTCCCTTGTATATTGCAATTCAAATATATTGAAATCTCTAATTTGCTATCTGAATCTGTGAATCTAGGAGGGCAATTAGAACTGTTGTGAAGGCTAGTTCTCGAGTTGATAAATTCTCAAAGAGTGATATCATTGTTTCTCCATCGATTCTCTCTGCCAACTTCTCAAAGTTGGGGGAACAGGTACTATTCTTGTTCATTGATCTTGTTATAAGAATTACTTTATCCATCTGTTTGAGAGCAAACCATAGGTGGTGTTCTACTCTCTTTAGAACACATCAGTACATTTTCGAACTTGTTGTCAAATTGTCATTGGAACTTGAAGCATTTTGGCTTTTGTCATCATCTTTCTTCACATTTTGACTCTTTTATATTTAAATTTTGTTCTCATGTGGTGAGTGTATATATAGGTCAAAGCCGTTGAGTTGGCAGGATGTGATTGGATTCATGTTGATGTAATGGATGGCCGTTTTGTTCCTAATATAACAATTGGACCACTTGTGGTGGATGCATTACGTCCAGTGACAGACCTTCCGTTGGACGTGCATCTGGTATCCCTCGTTTAATGTTTTGAAAGTTTGAACTTTTGTATATTGTGTTGGATGGAATTTTGTGCTAATGAGAAATTGAAGTATGGCAGATGATTGTTGAACCTGAGCAACGAGTGCCCGACTTTATAAAAGCTGGAGCAGACATAATCAGTGTCCATTGCGAACAATCTTCTACTATCCATTTACACCGTACAGTTAATCAAGTAAGATTCCCATGTGTAATATCTGACAAGTTTTCCATGTTGCTTGATTGCATAGTATTGATTTGCCTTTCTTCTTATGCAACATTATTGACCATGCTTTTAGAAGATATGTAGCAAACTAATCTGAATAAGAATGCTCTAAAGCGATAGTTATATTGTTAGAGTTCCATCGGCTATATTTGGACCATTTCACCTCTATATATGTTGGAACCCCATCTCTCCTTAGGGGCTTTTTTGGAGAGCAAACTATTGGGGTTTCACATATTCTTACATCAAAGCCTACGTCTACCATTTTAGGGACTCGACACTCTAGGCAATCTATACTCGTTTAGCCCCTCACTTGTCTAGCCCCCTCTCGACATTATGTGCCCACCTAGCCTCCATTATAGGGGCATGTAGTAGAGTCCCACATTGGCTAGACTTGGGCCATTCCACATATACAAAAGAAAATACAAATAATCATCTGTACACACACATAGCAATCAAAGAATAGGGCTGTGTCCATATGCAGCTTCAATTTCCAACTTCATCTCAACTGAGTCATTGATGTACGGCTCTAGAACTTAAAAAATATGTTCCCATTTGAGTTAGGATTCTAGGCACCTCAACATTATTGGTATTCATGTTGTTTTTTGCTTGGGCCTGGTAAATCACCGGTAATACCCAAGGGTAGGATCTGAACCCAAAACTCTCAACGCTGCATTCGTTTTCTATCCTTTCTTACTTTCAATTGGTTATGCTGTTAATATTCTTTTCTGTTCAGATTAAAAGTCTTGGAGTCAAAGCTGGAGTTGTTCTGAACCCTGCTACACCATTATCCACAATAGAATATGTCCTTGATTGTAAGTTGTGAATTTTCTTCTACTCGTTTCATTTCTCATGTGGAGTTATTAGATTAAGAGAAGAATACATGCATATGAATAAGACTAGAAGGGTACTCGTGCAATGCGTCGAGATACATCTTGATTTCAATGTTTCGTTTTATTCTGTATCCGTCGATGTTATAACACGATTTTATTTGTTACTGGAAAAACGATAATATTTTTATTTTTTTGAATGAAATATAAATTTGAAGGTATCGTAAAATTTCGAATTTTTTTTATCTATTTTTAGTATCAAATTAAATATTTAAAAGTTCTTATTTTTCGTGTAATTTCTCTAATTTCAATTTTTTATTATAATTTAATTTAAAATTAATAATGAAGTCATTTATTTTTGGTTTAATAATATTTTTTTTTTATAAAGATAATAATTAGTATTTTGTTAGAATTCAATGATTATTCTAAATATATTTTAGATCTTTTATACTTAAAATGAGATACCTATCCAGTATTTGATTATATTTATCTGCAGTTAGTTGCACAAATTTAAACATGGAGCCTTAATAAGTTGTAAATACGCACAATTTCCTTGTAATCTTGAATTTTAAGTAATATGCATCAATAAACAGTACTTAATGCATAAAAAATGGTTTTTAAGAGTTTTTGCCAAATGCTTTATAATATAATATAGATTCTTCGGGCAATTAGTGTGAAGATTCATTTCAAGATAGGAGATAAACCTTTATTCAGTGATTAAACAAAACAGTGTTATTCAATTACAAATTTGGGGTTTTTGATCAAACTCTTCTTCTATTTATACACCCGTATAGCAACAATAAAAGGTCTTTACCCTTCATTTTTTTCCATATTGAAATAATTACCAACTCTATCCTATGAGAATTACTCGCTTGGCCCCAAAATAAATTTCCACAATGAAAAAGGCATACAATTTTAGAAATGCCTAATTATTTCATTTTTTAATTAACAAAATGACAATTTTACCCTTCATAATAGAGTGAGTAATGATTTTCTCCATCTCATAATTAAAGGTGGAATTAGAAAGTAGACACTTAATTTTGAGAGTGGACATTTCTTCTGAGACAAATTATAATAAAAATGTGGAAACTTATTTTAGGACACGGAGTACAACAATTTGGCCTTCCACGAAGATTCGTTTTTGGCCAAATTTCATGTTAAAACTTAGTGCATTGACCCTAATGATTATTTGTTTCATCATTGTGGAAGGATATTATGGATTACTGGTCAGTAGTCAAACAATATTGCAATTTCCATGTCACAATTTTCTCTTTGAACAGGCGTCGATTTGGTCTTGATCATGTCTGTAAATCCTGGATTCGGTGGCCAAAGCTTCATTGAGAGCCAAGTGAAGAAGATAGCAGACTTGAGGAGAATGTGTGTTGAGAAGGTATTGTGTTGCCATTCTTATGTTCAAGACCTTAAACCCGTTACATAATTACATTTTTATTTGCTTAACAGGGTGTGAACCCATGGATTGAAGTAGATGGTGGAGTTACTCCCAGCAATGCATACAAGGTAGATCCTCTTAATGATCACTTGACCTTTTATATTAGCAACTTGTGAACCCTTATGAGAGAAGCTTCAACAACATTTTACCAAACAAAAACGAGCCCCATATATCCCACCCAGAGGTGGTTTTTTTTTTTTTTTTTTGGGGGGGGGGGGGGTTTATTTTCTGAACCTAAAAAACATCAATAGGAACTCAAGTAATGCGTTAAATGTGGTGGCAGGTTATTGAGGCTGGAGCCAATGCTCTTGTTGCTGGTTCTGCTGTTTTTGGAGCTAAAGATTACGCTGAAGGTAACTGAAAACTTAACATCAGAAATGCAAATCTTCTTTTATGTTTCTTAACCTTTCCTCTATGTGATTCTATATCTGTACTGCAGCAATTAAAGGTATCAAAGCCAGCACAAGACCAGTGGCAGTTCCTGCATGATACTTTCTAGCTTCAGAAATCATTTCTGCTCTCATCTCTGTAAGAAACCTCTTTTTATAGTATTTAAGCTTGTGGGCATTTGATGTTTGAGTTCAATCAGTCAGATGAATTATTCGGGTATCTTCCTTTTGAAATCTAAACGAATGTAGGGGGTGATTGTGTGATAAATCAATAAACTTGTATCTACATTCCTGCACAAAACTAAGGGGATGTTTGGTTCGATGGAATGTTTTTGAGGGATTTGGATTTCGTGGAAGGACTTGGAATCTTTGATGTGTTTGGTTTGTAGGATTTGGGATGGAATTGAATTCCATTCTATAGCAAAGATAGTTGGGAATAATTCTCTCTATATCTATTTGAAGAGAATGATACACCCATTTATATACACAAAAAGAAATCCTACCAAATAAATTACCAAAGAGGAAAAAGGAAACTATACAACAAATCACTCTACCTATGGAGGGAATATACGATAAAATCAACGATTATAGGAGATTGATTCCTAATAATCAGCACACAATATTTCCACCAATTTGTGTTCCTACACTCCCCCTCAAACTGGTGGGAATATGTTTGTTAGACCAAGCATAGAGCTTAGTTCAATGAGGTGAGGTCTAAACATGGCCTTGGTTAAAATGTCTGCTGCATGCTGCCGAGAGGGAACATGGTTGAAAGAAATAATGTTTCCTTCTAGTTTCTCACATATGAAGTGCCTGTCAATTTCCACATGTTTCGTTCTGTCATGATGGATTGGATTTTTAGCCATAGTTATTGCTGATAGGTTCTCACACATCATCTTTATAGGTCCAGAAATTCCACACTTAAGTTCCAGTATCATTCGATTTAGCCAAATTCCTTCGTATATACCGTGAGCTAAAGCTCGAAACTCGGACTCGGCACTTCTTCGAGATACAACATGTTGTTTTTTACTTCTCCATTCACCAAGTTTCCCTAAAGAGGTGAACAATAACCGGATATAGATCTCCCGTTAATAGGGGATCCGCCCCAGTCCGCATCTATATAAACTTTGAGAGACCGATTGAGTGTTTTCTTGAACTTTAATCCCTTTCCAGGATCCTTTTTCAGGTACCTAAGAATTCGAATCACAACCTTCATATGATCCACTGAGGGATTGCTTAAAAACTGACTAACAATCCCGACGGAAAAACTTATAGCAAGACGAGTGTGTCTCAAATATATTAACTTTCCCACCAAGCATTGATATTGCCCCTTATCAGCTTCCTCTTCAGTCCGAGATATCAGTTTCGTATTAGGATCCATAGGAGTTTCAACCTGCTTGCAACCACTCATGCCAGTTTCATGTAGGAGATCTAGGACGTACTTGTGTTGAGAGACAGAGTTCCCCTCTTTTGACCTGGCTACTTCCATTCCCAGAAAGTACCTTAGATGCCCAAGGTCTTCGATTTGAAATTCTTTGGATAAAAGAATCTTCAGTCTTCTCATTTCTTCTTCGTGATTTCCTGTAAGGATAATATCATCAACATAGGCAATTAGCACAATAATTTTCCCAGTTGGAAAGTGTTTGATGAACGTGTGATCTGCTTGAGACTGTGAATAACCATCTTGTTTGAGCACTTTAGAGAACATGTCGAATCATGCTCTCGGAGATTGTTTGAGCCCATATAATGCCTTCTTCAACTTGCGCACTTTTCCTTTCGCTTTTTTCGTTTCAAAACCAGCTGGTACATCCATATACACTTCCTCACATAGGCTTCCATTCAAGAAAGCTTTTATTACATCGAGCTGGAACAATCTTGGTTGACAACAATAGACAATAGAACACGAACTATATTAAGTTTGGCTACTGGGGAAAATGTTTCCTGGTAATCAATTCCATAAGATTGAGTGAACCCTTTTTCCACTAGACGAACCTTGTATCTATCTATGCTTCTATCTGCATTATGTTTTATTAAAAAAATCCATTCACATCCCACGGTTTTCTTACTCGGTGGCAAAGATGTTAGGAGCCATGTGTCATTCTTTTCAAGAGCATTGGACTCATCGAAGGTTGCTTTTCGTCATTCTGGTACCTTCAAAGCTTCATAAAGGAAGTCACAAAGGATCGAAATTTCTCTGACAAGTTTGAGTATGAGATATAACTTCGAAGTTGGTGTTGAGTACATGATCGAATCCCTTTTCTTTGAGCAATGGGAAAAGCCATCTTTGGATCATTTGCTATTATCTCATCAGAGTCTGACTTCGAACTCGATTCTGTCTCATTGTGTAACCTTTCAAGATTGACTGAACTAGGGAAAGATTCTTGACTGGCTTCGTTCCTGTTCCAAAGGTTTTTCTCTTCTCGTGTAAACTTTTATTTCTTCATCAGGGAGATTAAGGTGTTTAGGATGGACTCCCAGACTACGACTTATTTCAGATGAATCATCTGAAATTTGAGGAGACGATGCATGAGAAGGATGACTTGTTCTTGACTTAAAGATGGTTGTCCATTCCCAATTTTGTGATTCCTGAATGTTATTCTCCCTCTAAATTGCAAAATTGGGAAAGAAGGGTGTATGCTCAAAGAATGTCACATCCATAGTGTTATAGAATTTTTGTGTTACCGGTGAGTAACATTTATAGCCTTTTTGATTCGCTGAGTAGCCAAGAAAAACACATTTAACAGAGTGAGCTTCAAGTTTACTGTGATTGTGAGGGTGAACATGAACGAAAGCAACAAACCGAAAATCTTAGGTGGGATCTAAGACACAAGTGTGGAGGTTGGGTTGATTTCATGAAAAAATTGCAAGGGAGATTTGAATGTAAGGACATGAGAAGTCATTCGATTAATGAGATACATGGTGGTTAGAAAAGCATCGCCCCAATTTTTTTTTGGGAACATGGGTTAGGAGTAAGGCTCGAGCAATTTCGAGGATGTGACGGTTTTTGCGCTCGACCACACCATTTTGTTGTGGTGTGTCCACGTATGAGCTTTGTTGAACAATTCCATGAGATTTGAGATAAGAACCAAGATTTAAATTGAAGAACTGGCATTGTCAGTTTTGAGCATTTGAATATTGGTTTTAAACTGGTTTTGAACCATGGCATGAAAATGTTGGAATATGGGATTAGTTTTAGTTTTATCCTTCATAAGAAATGTCCAACATAATCGAGTATGATCATCAACCAACATTAAAAACCATCGAGCATCCATGATATTTGGATCTTGGTTGGTCCCCAAATATCATCATGAATGAGTGAGAAGGGGTGACTTGGTTTGTAAGGTTGTGAAGAAAAAGTGCTACACGTGTGCTTTGCGAGTTGGCATCCTTCACTATGTAAATAGTTCTGATTTATGTGAAAGAACAATGACGGAAACAAATATCTCATATATCAAAAAATAGGATGACCTAGACAAGAATGCCCCAACATAATTGCACTCTCTTTATTTGACTGGAAGACGGACTTAAGGCTATGAACATGCTCTAGCGGAGGCTTGATACGAATCTTACTAGTTGCGGAATCGGGAGTTGATGAAGTGTTTACATTGAGAAGATAGAGACCTTCACAAAGTTCAGCCTTGTCAATCGTCATCCGTGGGTTCATATCCTGAAATACACAATATTTGGCAAAAAAAAATTAGTTTCAACATGGAGATCACTGTTAATTTGCTCACGGAGATAAGATTACAGTCTAGACTCTAGATCAGGAACAAATAGCACAGAGTATGGAGTAAGAGTATTTGAGAGGTGAATTCTTCCTGCCCCTTCCACAGTGGTGCGAGTACCATTCGCTATGCGAACAGTTTGCTGCTTATTACAAGGGAAAAAACTTGTAAAAAGAGATCTGTCACCTATCATATGATTTGAAGCACCAGAATCGACTATCCATGATGAAGGAGTTGAACTGTCACCAACATGAAATGCGAGATTGCCTTCATTGTTGGCAGACGATGAGATATTAGCCTTGCTTATAAGCTGTTGAAGTAATGCCAATTGGTCCTTTGTAAATGGCACCTGATTGTTGTCTTGGGACTGCTCAGTAACTGTTGTATTTCCCCTAAGCTCATGGTCTCGGCTTGGTTTCCAATTTGAGGGCTTTCCATGCAGTTTCCAACACCGTTCTTTTAGATGACCAGACCTTTTGCAATGATCACACCAAGGACGTCCTTTTCTTGATCGATTATCATTGAAGCTTGAAGACATTCCTTGGGAAGATAAAGCAACCGAGTTTGGAGCGAGATCCTTGGTGCTGCGAGAGCTAAAACATCAAGGGAAGAAGATGGATTGGTTAGTCCCATCATGATTCGCTTATGACTTTCCTCTCCACGAACTTCATCAAGAGACTTGTCGAGACCCATTAGAAACTTGAAGATGTGTTTAGTTTCTACAATGGTTTTGAAATAAGTTTGATCATCAGAACACTTCCATTCATGTGATTCAAACAAGTCTAATTGTTGCCAGTAACAAGTGAGAGTTGAGAAATAGGTGGTAACAGAGTTTTCTCCTTGACGTAAATCCTGAAGAATACTCTCTACATGGAACAACTCAGCTATGTTTTCACTACTGGAGAAGGTTTCTCGTGCAGCATCTCAGATTTCTTTGGCGGTGGTGTATAGAAGAAAGTTCTCTCCTATTTCAATTGTCATTGAACTATTCAACCAAGCCATAACTTGATTGTTTTCTGCCCTCCATGCTCTGAACTTTGGACTATCAGATCTTGAGTGAGTGTGCCAGTAAGAAACTCATCTCGACCATGCCCACTTATAAACATCATCATGGATTGGGACCATTGAAGATAGTTATGCCCGTTGAGTTTGTGACTCGTGATGCCGATAAGGCTTGAATCGGTTGAGTTTGGGTTCGGAGGAGATACATTTGAGTTGTCTGGGGTCTCGGAACCAGACATTGGAATAATACGATAAGGCAGAGATAAAAATAACTTACTGTTGGCTTCTGAAAAAATGATCAGTTGAGCAACAATACCCTAGACTCGTTGAAACTTGTAGAGTGACAAGGGACGAAATTGATTTGATAAATCGACTAACTGAAATCGATTTGATGAGGTTAACCGGATAAAATCGACCGAATGAAATCGATTGGAGGATATCGACCGGATGAATCGGCTAGATTGAATCGACCGGATGAAATCAACGGGATGAAATTAGTTTGATGAAATCGATTGACTGAAAAATTGATTGACGATTGTGATTATGAAGGCACGAAACAGATGCTAGTTTAGGTAGATCAAAAATGGAGCCTAAGCGCTGATACCATGTAGCAAAGATAGTTGGGAATAATTTTCTCTATATTTTAAAACATTATTACAAACAAATCCTATAAAATATCGTGAAATACCAACTATCCCCATGGGATTTCCAATTCAATTCCGGACTTTCCTTTAAACCAACGCTGGGTTGGAATTACATTCAGTTCCAAATCCCACCGAATCCCGCAAACCAAATGGTTCCAAAGTTAGCTCACCTAGAATGATTTATGCCAAAGCTGCACATATTGGCTAGAGAAAATCTAGGTTTGTAGATGTAGATGCATTTGTAAATGGTTAAAGCTATATTTGGCAAATTAGTTGTTGGTTAATAGGCTGCTAGCTGATAAACTAATCACGTTTAGTAAAAAAATAGCTTTTAAGGTAGATGACAATGTAAAATAACGGGCATAAACGGAAATAAGTGAGAAAAATTCTCCAACAAGCTATCTAACGTAGTTTTTAAAAAAGTTGTATGAGTTATCAACTTTTGTAACACCTCCAATCAGCTCAAAGACCATGGTAAAAGTTATCGGTAACCCACAACTTTGAGCTTATAAGGAACTAAATCTAATTTCTATCCATGTGGGATGGGTTGTGACAAACGAGGCTTTTTCAATAAGATCAAACAATAAGCTAGCTTATAGTTGTCAAACATGGCCTAAATTGATTAACTTTCTTGGATCTGCTCAAGAATAGGTGAAGAAAGGCAATAAGTGATGCATACACTCCCCCCCCCCCTCCTATCCTATGTTTTTGTTTTCCAAACCCGTTAGTTAAAAACTTCTATCAACACGTTTGGAGTTTGTAAGAAACCGAAACTCTGACATGAAGTATTTGAGAAATCATTTCTTGATGAATCTTGAATCCGATTCTTATAGTTACAGACTTTGCATCTGCAGACAACAGGAGGAATTCGATGGCAGATAGTATCATGTTGTTTCTTGGCATTCATCATTTGCTGAAGGATGTACGAGTAAGGTCCATCAAAAAAGGTAGCCATGTCTTCATATAGAAGCGTAAATAAGTTGTGTTTCGTTGTAAAGAATAGCCCTTTTCCCTTGATGCTTGCTTATTAGAACAAACACTGCATCTCGATTGGTTAGAATTGAGTACAAAATCGTGATATTGAACATCGATTTCGCGGTTCATTCTATCTTTGGTTTCTGTTAGCAGCAAACATAGTGGAGAATGAAGAAATATCGGCAATCTTTCAATCTGCATAGTGACTCAATTATGTTGTTGTAATACACTTTTGTGGTTGTGGTCTTCTCAAGCCATAAAGTTTTTTCTGCATATCTTTTTGGATAATGTCGATGTGTGTACTTCGACTAATCCTATTCTATGGGTCGTGAAATTAACAATCAGACCAAGTGACGGAACTTCATGATCCTAAGAAGACTTGAAGTAGTGATCGTTAGGAGTAAAATCAATGTCTTAACCGATTAAGCTACCGTAAAAGGTTATTATCACTTGTGCTATTTTATCCATTCTAAAGAATATGTGATACTGTTAACTTTGGTAACCTTTTTTGGGTTGTGTACTTGTGTTAGGCGAAGCCAGCCATCACTTTTTTTATTTTTATGGTTTAAAATTTATTGTTTTTTGTTCCTATGGTTTAAAATTCATTTCTATTTAAGTTTTTCATTAATAAAAGTAGTGTTTTGACCTCATGGATGGAAATAGAAATGAATTGCAAACTATATGGACGAAAATCAAAATTTAAAACCACAGGGATAAAATCCGTAACTTTTAACAAACCATAAGGACAAAAAGTGTAATTTACTTCTCAATTAATGTACAAACTTTCAATGTATCTGACAGGTGGTCAAACCAAACAACGTTCTGTTCCAATTCTTTTAACAGATTTCATTCCACTAAAAAAAAAACATTATGCGACCAAACGTCACCTAAATGGAATAACTTGGTACTATGAGATTTGAGTATTCCTTAAATATTGAAATGTGATTAAGTTTGTCTATCTTACATTGGTGGGAAGAAAGAAAGTCGTAGGAATGAAGTGCGTATATATATATATATATATATATATATATATATATATATATATATATATATATATGAAAAGTGTGTATTTATATGAAAAGTGGAGGTGATTTTTTGTTGCATGTCATGTTGTTGGCTTAAATGAGTCAACTCTTTCATTTGCAGTTATCATTATGAGATTTGAGTATTTCTTAAATCTTAAAATAATGTCAACTTTGTTTATCCCATAGAAAAGATGACTTTAAAGTACTGAGATGAATTTTGAGGGTGATGTATTCCAAATCTTGCATTGTGGTTTGTTTTAGGAAATTCCACGTTGATGAAAAATTGACACATTAATAGAGTGTGATAAATATGTATAAAAATAAGCATGTGATGCTTTCGAAAACTAAAAGAGTAATATAATTATGTAAGTCATTGTTTGGCCTCTAATTTTGGAGTAATAGTTTTTTTTTATTAACCTGGATATCCAACCCGCTATGCGAGCCGACTAATCTCAAGGCGACCACCTGCTTTGCAGATAGCCCGGAGTCACCGCATATGAACCTTCGTGGCCACAAGGGGATTTTTATTCCTCCTTGGATTTGAACCTGGGACCTCCTGATACTTTTGACCTTTGGAGCCAAGCTCAAACCAATCAGGTACCACCCTTGTGGTTAGTTTTTTTTTTATTGTTATCACTCAAATATGGTAATTGTTGTATATTTCATTCCAAAAGAGATTACAATATATATAAGATCAAGAAACCTAAAAAGGGAAATACTAACACTACTCTATAGAAAGGTAAACCAAACTTTGCTATATTTAACACTCCTCCTCAAGTTGGAGCAAAAATGTTAATCATGCTCAACTTGTTACAAATAAAGTCTATTTGAGTTTTCTGCAATGGCTTCGTGAGAATGTCTGCAAGCTGGTGTTCAGTCTTGATGTGTACCGGTTGGATCGGTAGAGGGTCTGTCTGTGTTCCCACAATACGTTCTCTAATGAGATGACAATCAACTTCAGTGTGTTTTGTCCTCTCATAGAATACTTGATTCTTGGCTATGTGAATGGTTGACTGGTTATCACAATACAATCTCATCAAGTCCTTTGTCATTACTCCAAGATCTCTTAGGAATCTCCGTATCCACGTCATTTCACATGACACATATGTTATGGCTCTGTATTCTAATTCGACACTTGATCGGGAAACAATATTTTGTTTCTTGTTTTTCCAAGAAACTAGATTTCCTCCTACAAATACACAGTACCCTGTAGTTGATCTCTTGGAAATGGGACATCTAGCCCAATCTGCATCCGAGAAACCAGATATTCTACCATCTCCTTCTTTAGTAAAAGCACCCACTCAACAATGGCCCTGATCTGAATAGAGTATCCCTACGCCCGGTGTGGCCTTGAGATACCTCAAAACGCGAAGTGCTGCATCCCAATGAGCCATAGAAGGATCGAACATGAAATGGCTCAAGACAATAACCGAGAATGAAATATCTGGTGGAGTAACTGTCAAATAGTTCAAGTTTCCAACCAATCTTTTGTATCTCTCTGGATCCTTCATAGGACTTCCATCATCTAGAGGAAGCTTCCCTATAGCAAGCATCAGATTGTTCACCGGTTTACATCCCAATAGACCACATTCAGTAAGCATATCAACAACATATTTCCGCTTAAATAGAAGAATCCCATGTGAAAATCGAGATACTTCTATCCCAAGGAAGTAATGAAGTCGTCCAAGATCAGCAACTTGAAATTGAGTCTATAGAAATTCTTTTAGTTCTGAAATTCCATTGCTATCATATTCGATAATGATAATGTCATCTACATAGACCACCAGTATGATACGTTGATTTTCATGGTGTCTAAAAAACACAGAGTAATCTTGGGAACTGCGAGTCATACCAAATTCCGAGAGAACATCTAAAAATCGTCCAAACCATGCTCTAGAAGATTGTTTAAGACCATACAATGAACGTCGCAATCGGCATACTTTTGTAACCTCCTCCTCAATAACAAAGTCAGGTGGTTGTTCCATGTACACCTCCTCCTCAAGAATGCTATTAAGAAATGCGTTCTTGACATCCATTTGATGAAGTGGCCAATGATTGATCATAGCGAGAGCGATACAAATGCGAACTGGCGGCATTTTAGCTACCGGGGAAAATGTCTCGTCATAATCAACCCCGTGGGCTTGAGAATAACACATGGGTTTTTACACAATGGTATTTCTTACAAGCCACTACATTTTTTGCTAATAAGAATCTTGAATCGGAGATACTCTTATCAAAAAACAAATATAACAATTCTCAAAATATTTATGCAAGTTATATAAAAAATTTAAAGTTACACTTATTTTGTTACATAGATAACAAAATTGTGTTAAATGATTTAAAAAAATTAATCTAATTATTAATTATAATAGTTAAATATGTGAGGTTGATCAATTTTATTTTTATTCATATTATATGTAATGGTTATTTAAAATCATAAATTAGTACATTTCTGCTAAAATTTTATTTAACAAATCCAAAATTTATAATATATATAATCAATTCGAAATTCTTTTAATCAACATATTATATTATTTAATTTTTCTTCACTATATTGTTTGTATTAATTAACATATTATATATAGAAATTTGTTTTAATTATATTACGAAATATTGTAATTAACTAATTTTTCAAGATGCTTTTTTTTGGTCATTTTACGTTGCATGACTCAGAAAGATCAAAGCTGCATACATAAGCTCTCATATTCCCCATCAAGCTCTCAATAACCTCATAAATCTTGCAAGCAAATGGGTGATCACAATCTCCAGCGACAAACTCATTGATCTCACTTCCAACCTCAATCCAACTACAGCCCGGAACTCTCCGCTCGTTAATTCGGTTTCTCGTGATCTCCTTTTTATCCCATATTCCGCTCGAACCATATATATTGCCCATAATAACATCATCACCCGCCCAATTCTCCTCCAACTCAAACAATCGCCCACGAACGTCTTCAGCAAGATCAACGCCTCCAGAATTCCCACACGCACCAAGCAACGTCCTCCACAAAACGGCATTTGGCTTCACGGGCATTTGCAAGATGAAATCTTTAGCTTCTTGTAAAAGCCCTGCTCGACATAAAAGATCAACCATGCACCCAAAATGGGATATTCTAGGTTTTAACCCGTAATCTTCTGTCATTTTCTTGAAATACCGCTTTCCATCATCCACCATAGCTACATGACTACATGCCATTAGGACTCCAATGAAGGTAACATCATTAGGGATGATTTTAGTTTGGGTCATTGCTCTGAAAAGTGAAAGTGCTTCTGTTGCTTGACCATGGATGGCATATCCAGTAATCATGGAGGTCCAAGTCTTGACATCCTTTTTCTCGATGCTAACGAACAATATCTTAGCGGTTTCAATATCTCCACACTTTGTGTACATGTTCAAGAGGGCATTGTATAAAGACAAGTCTTTATCGAGCTTTTTGCTTCTTCGGATATAGTTATGAATCCACTTACCCATGTCCAATGCACCAAGATCCGCACACGCAGAGAGCGTGACCGTGAGAGTGATTTGATCCGGCTCCAGATTGTCCATCTGCATTTCCCTAAACAATTTGAGAGCAGAATTTGGTTTTTGGTTATCAACATAAGCAGATATCAATACGGTCCAGCAAACAACATTCTTCGTGAGCATTTCATCGAACACCTGGCGTGCATCTGCAAGATTAGCCACTGAAGAGTAGTAGCTCACCAGTGATGTCTGGATGAAGATGATGGGTTCATAACCGAATTTTACGACAAGGGTATGGAACTGTCGACCTTCATGTGGCAAAGACTTTCGTGTGCAGACCTTCGTGATATAAAGTAAAGAGAAACTATCAATGGAGGAAATGCTTTTTCTGATCAAATCACGAAACAAAAATAAAGCTTTCGCTGTGGCATTGGTCTTTAAATACTCTTTGAGCACTTCATTCGGTCTTAGTTTGGTTCGGCCATGGCTATGGATTTGAGAAGGTTTGGTAAGTGGAAATTTGGCCAAAATATTCTGGATTTTGATCAGGGATGAAGATTTCAAGAATCCCATTATAGAAAAGAACATAGTTTTTTTGGATGAAATGAAATTAATAATATAAGAAATTGCGAATTGCATTACAGAATCAAGTAGATAATTTTTTCATTAATCAATGTTTAATTTTTGGGGCGTTTGGAATTGCTTATTTAGAACAACTTGTATTTTTTTTATAAAAGTCTTTATCAATTTATTATAAGTTACAATGATTAAACTTTTTCAAAAACTCTTTACTACCGGTTTGACACCGGTATAAGTTGTTTATCCAAACACTCAAAAGTGCTTATTACCATTATCACACCGTGATAAGTCAATAAGTTGTTTTTATAAGCAATCACAAACACCTCCTTAATGGATGGTTATATCTATATTAGGAATAAACTAGAACTTATTTAAGCATTATGGTCCTAACTAGGTTTTATTTTCAATCTAATTTTTAGTTTCCAGATGGTTCAAGATTTGTTTGGATTAATCTCAGTAAATTATGTATGTTTGGAATTAAATTCTAGACAAATATTTCATCACATCCGCCAAGATCTCAATTACTACATCACAACCCTTGTGGTTAATTTTTATTTTCTCGATGGAAAAACTTGTATTTTTTTTTATGAAAGTGCCATTCAGATACAAAAATATTTATGTTGTTTTTGTAAAAGCAATATGGATGTTCAGATTTGAACCTTTCAACATGATTTGACCAATCATTTGATCGGGCTTTCATCTAATTTTAAGGGAGTGCTAATGGCATCCAAGAGGTGTTGAATGCTTGGAAATTGTACATCGCTAAAATCTATAAACATCAAATCGATTTAACAATATATTATATTTAATTATCATTGTTATTTAATACATATATATAAATATATTAATTAAGTTATATCATATAAATATATATATATATATACTCCATGTATATTTTATTTATAAAATTATTATAATTTTATTATCTTCACTTTTATATACATACATACAACATCCATACATATATATATATATATATATATATATATACTTATTATTATAGATGAACGATCAAATAAAAACCGTCTCCATTTATGTAAACCGTGTAAACCAATCTCACTCATCCATTTTCTTGATCAATGGTTAAGATTAATTAAGATTATTTAAGGAAATTAAAAATAAAAAAATTTGAAAAATACATTTTATAATACCGATAAGGGCAAAAGGGTAAAACCAAATATTCATTTATTCAAGGAAACCATATCATGTATATCATATTATTAATGAAACTAATCTATTTTTTGTAAAGTAATKYATTATTTTTACGTTAACATTTATTATTATTAATGAAACTAATTTATTTTTCATCTTGCAATTATTTCATGACGAACCGCYTACATTATGYACCCGTTTCATTTTTCATTTCATCTACTGAATGGATCACCTACGCCATCACTGAAATGAGTTTCACTATGAAAGCAGTTCATCACTCATTGTTCAATTACGCCATGAACCAGTTTCACCTTCATGAACCAGTTTCACCTTCATGAAACCTGTTTCATGAAAATTAAATTTTTTATTTCACTCATGATTTGATGCATTCTTTCCTTTACTCCTTACAATCTTCAAGATTCTGGAGCAGATTACAATATTCAAGATCCCGAAGCAGATTAATCATGTACTCGTTTCATCATGCAATTATTTCATGACGAACCAAATAAATTATGCACYCGTTTCATGTTCCATTTTTTCTACTAAACGGATCAACTACACCATCACTAAAACATGGTTCACCATGAAATGATTTCATATTACTCATGAATCAATTACAACATGACCCAATTTCACCATCATGAAATCTGTTTCATGTAAATTAATTTTTTTTATTTTACTCATGATTTGATGCATTCTTTCCTTTAATCTCAATCTTCAAGATTCTGGAACAGATTACAATCTTCAAGATTTCGAAGCAGATGTACCCGTTTCATCATGCATTATTTCATGACGAACCAAATAAATTACGCACCCGTTTCATGTTCCATTTTTTCTACTAAACGAATCAACTACACCATCACTGAAACGTGGTTCACCATGAAACGATTTAATATTACTCATGAATCAGTTACAACATGAACCAGTTTCATCTTCATGAAATCTATTTCATTAACATTATTTTTTTAATTTGAATCATAATTTACGATTTCATTCTATAATGCAATGCAATCTTCAATACCCGTTTGCAGATTGAATCTCATAACAATATATCAAATTCAAAATTTTAAAATTATAATATAATTAAATATTTAAATGTTAACATTTATACAATTTCCTTTATTACGTTTCCTTAATTAAGATTTATTAATAACTTCCATATTTAATAGAAAATATTGTAAATGACCGAAATACCCTTATTGATTAAATTTAATTAGAAAAAAATGGAATTTTCTTATTGGTCGAAATTGGTTTACACGGTTTCTTAGAAATACACGGTTCTTATTTAAACGTGCCCCTAATATTATATTACATATATGTATTAGTATTAAAGTTTCATCATAATTATTTTAAAAGACCTAATATAATTTAATCCAAAGGTTAGTTTTTATGAATAACTAGTTATTTTAATGGATGAGATATTTACAAAACCATCTATATTGAATTTAAATAAATAAAAAAGTTCAAAAAATTAAAAAAAATTGTTCCATTTTGAATTATTAAGTTCTTCAACTTTTTTGATTGAATAAGTTGTTGAACTTTTTTTTTATGTTGAATTATTAAGTTGTTGCATTTTTTTTGAATAATTAAATGATTGAGCTTTTTTTGAAAATTGATTACTTAAGTTATTTTAACTTTTTTAAAATTGTATAATCGATCTTCAAATCATCGATCTTCAAATCATCGATCTTCAAATCATCAGTTAAATAAAACTAATTTTATTTTTGTTATTAAAAACCAACTTTTAAAATGTTTATTTAAAAAATCAATTCTTAAATGTTTAAAGAAGAAATTAATTTTGGTTTTTATTTTTATTCTCTAAAATTAATTTTGGTTTTTATTTTTATTCTCTAAAATAAAATATTTTAACAGTTAATCCTACGATATAAAAAGTTAAGTTTTCATAATATTTAAAAAAAAAAATATTTAATAAAATTCATTTAATTTCGATATTTTTGATTTTGTATTTATGCTATGTGTGATATGGTGTTGGGCCACAAACTGGGCCTGGCCCACTGTATCCCAGAAGATACATATCTTATTCTGTAAATATCTTGGCTTTCTGGTGACGTGGCCTCTTCTCTATCCCTAGTTCTTTATCTTCTCACGCGCTCTTTTTGCACTTTTTCTTCCACGTCTGCCCTCCATCTAACATGCGCCTATCCACTCACCCCTCATCCAACGGCCCTCATCCATCCAACTCTCCGCCACCGCATTTTAGTCTCCGCGGCCACCAAAAAAAGCCACAATTGTTTTTTTTGCTATTTGTATAATACAAGAGATGAAGAAGACGACTTCCTTCTCTCACACACTTACACACACTCGCCGCTCGAATTGGTGGTTCTGACGTTATCTGTTCGATCGGCGGCAGCCGGAGGTGCAGTTCCAGTAGCTGGTTTCGATGTATTTTGGATCGTGCCGAACTTTCCGTTTTTTTGGTTCAGTTGAGTTTGCTGATCATCAAGTGGATTGGTTTTTTTTTTTTCCGTTTTGAGGGCAATTGAAAGTGTGTTTGTCTTGTTATAGATGTTAAAACTGTAGGCGTTTGTGTTTGTTCTTTGTTTATTTGCTTTTATGTTATTACAACTCTTTCGATCTGTTTTGGATGGAGTACATAGAATTAGAAACCCTAAACCTAGATCCTTTTGTAAATAAAAAGTAGGTGAAAAATCGTGCTTTGATGGAAGTTCTCTAATGTTGAGAGCTGTTTTAGACAGCTGGTAGTAGGATTGGGGGTGTTTTGGTGAAGTTTTTGAAACGTAATTGTAAAGGATACGTACAGGAAGTGGATTTGATTGATGTGGGAGATGGAGCCAAATGAAATTTTGATGAGCAGAAGTGGCGGTGGAGGAAATACTAGCGGGAAGCCTGGGGAGGGATTTATTGATCGAAGTAAAGTGAGAATTCTGCTTTGCGACAATGATACGAAGAGTTCGGAAGAGGTTTTTATTCTTCTTTGTAAATGCTCCTATCAAGGTATTATAAGCATGACCTTTTACCTTCTCATCATTCTTTGATTGAGTGCTCTGATTGTTAAGCGAATGATGTAATAATACTATAGATTCTTACGAGCTTAATTTGATCTAATTATCAATTAAGAGAACATTATGATCATATACAGACGGCTAAATTGATGCAATTGTGGTTTTTAGTCTATAATCAATTTCCATTTGGTGGTGATTTAAACTTCATGACCAATTTTGTATGATCAGTTGATCATGAAAGAGCTAGTAAGTAATTTGATTTCTATTTGTTTCTTTGTCTTTTAGGCGTTCTTATTATAATAATTTCTGTAACTCCAAGATTTGTGCTGCAATGCTCTAATTCCAAGGTTTCCACATGATATTTCAAGTTTGAGGGTGGTCGTGGATGATATTATCGTTGCTCTAGGATTTGTTACCCATGCCTTGATCCACTTTATTGTGGATAATCCTCTTGTTGCTACGATAGCATTTGAATATCTTTGGTTTCAGTGGGACTATTTACTTGGATATCCGATCTCTGTTTTTGCCTAAGAATGTCTTTCATGACAAATCATTAACCATTATTGGGATAAGAAATTGAAGTCTCCAATTATTACAAGAAAAGTGTCTTTTCCTGCAATACTTGATCCATTTTTACTCAAGATGCCCAGACTTTCTTATGTAACAAACTAGCACGTGCATGAAACATTTCTGCATTTAGTTCATCTGGAAGCTTTGGCATCAGTGAGGTACTTTCATGGTGGTTTAATCTCATAATTCATTTTTAACATCTAAAATTAGTCCTCATATAGCACTTGCTAAAGATTCAAAACCCATTTTCGGCCTTTTTCTAAAAAAAAAGATGAAAAAAATCCAATGGGAATTCTGATTTATTGGCAAAGAGGCGAAGAAATAGATTTCTGAAGAATTCCTCGACCTTCATTGTGAAGCACTTCCCATCATCTGCCTATTTAACAATTCAACTTGAAAAATCATCGAGTTCCTGTAGTGACGTTGTCACTCTATATGCTCTTATTCTCCCCTGCCCCCTCCAAATATTCAGAATGAATACTACGCCAAAAGGTTAATTTCAATATATAACGTCACTTGCATATCAAGAATCATTGGATAATGTTTAATTTCCCAAATCATCTCCTTTTGTGTAAACTTTAAGCAATAATTTTGGGGGGATGGGAAAAGGGGAAGAAGATGGCATTCAGAATTCACTTCACATGCAATTTATAGAACTCGATTAATAAGAGGATAAATCCCCCCCCCCCCCCTCTTCTTTTGTCCTGCAGTAAATGCCCTAATTGAAAAATGGAATGGTAATTATATTTCTCACACATTTGGATAACCTTGACATAAATTCTTAGTTTTCTCATATGTTTTATGTAGTGGTGCGGACTTCAAAAGGCTTTTGCATCTTCCATTGTTCTATATTTGAGTAGTTTTCTGGGTGCAATTCTGGAATCTATCTGTGTAACATAATATAGGCTGTCATAAGAGAAAATCAAGACATGACCTCTGATTGGATAAGTCAACTAATTGTAGAATGACTTACAATGTTCCAAGTAATATGGGGAATTCCATAAGAGTTAGGCAAGGAATTACGCTGGGACATAGCTAGTAATAAGAATAATTGTCTCCCATATCAACATGCACCTTCCTGTGTTGGTATTCACGGAGTATGATTGGTGTTTTACAGTGACTTCAGCAAGATCACCCAGACAAGTGATTGATGCCCTGAACGCTGAGGGGCCTGACATAGATATTATTCTTTCTGAAGTTGACCTTCCCATGGCCAAAGGTTTGAAGATGTTAAAATACATCATGAGAGACAAAGACCTGCGACGAATTCCAGTGATCAGTAAGCCTATTAACAATTTATGTTTTGACGTTTCTTTTTTTTTGTACTTGTTTCCAGATGTCTCTTTTCAGGTTCATTCGAGATACTCATTTTCTATTATTTGCTTTTTCCCAGTGATGTCTGCTCAGGATGAGGTTGCTCTTGTTGTCAAATGCTTGAGGCTTGGAGCAGCTGATTATCTTGTGAAACCCTTGCGCACAAATGAGCTGTTGAATTTGTGGACACACATGTGGAGGAGAAGACGAATGGTATGTATGGCTTGACTTCTACAGCTGATTACATAAGCCACCGGCTCCTTCCTAAGTGGTTCCATTTCCCTAGAATCTAAACCATTCTGGTCTCTGGAAGACTGGAACCCATGAAATATGGTTTGAATTAGGATGTGTGTGGCCTTTACTGCATGAATCCCAATTCAGATTTTCATTAGCTTCATCTTCTATTTCTGCTGCAATTATCATTTTTCATCAGCTGCTGCATTTACACATGGTTGATCAACGACAATAATCTGGATCCTTCTGATATTTCTTGTAATGCAGCCATTATTATGTTTCCTTTTGTTATTGCTCTCTTAACTCTACTTTGGACAGCTTGGCCTGGCTGAGAAGAACATCATGAACTGTGAATTTGATCCAGTGCCTTCAGATCCTAGTGATGCTAATACAAACAGTACCACTTTATTTTCGGATGACACAGATGAGAAGTCACTGAAGAGTTCCAATCCAGAGATGTCCGTGTCCATTCCTCGTGAAGACGAGGTGAGAATCTTGTTCATTGGAAATCAAGTTACTCATGCATGCATTTACAGTTAGTTAGCTAAAGTAGGGATAATTGATCCTGGTGAGGCTAATTTGTACCTTAAATATTTGACACTTTTAGTCTCATAAACAATATGAAAAAATGGCTAACAAGTTGTTGTATGAATTATAACATCATATTCGAGCTGTGAACTCCATATGCTCCTGAACATTCTTTTTTATAGCTAGTATGTTTGTTACAAGTTTATAATCCGGTTGGATAGTATGCATATCCTGTTGCTGGTTCTTTTTGTGTTAAAATCAGCAATTATATTCGACTTTGCTTATGCTAATTGTTATTGACCAAAAACAACAACAAAAAAGCCATATATGGGATACAGAAAAATCGTACATTGATCATGACTATCTTTTATCCCAATCTTTTTTTTTTCAACTTTGGTGATGCTGCTTGCTAAATAACTTAATTCTTTTTCAGAGTAATGTGATAATATCTCCTGGTCTTGTGACGACACAGCTTATCAATTCATCAGATGATCGACCTAATGTGCCAGAAATTAACGAACAACAGCGAGGTTAACAGCTCCAGATCCAAATTCTGTTTAACTTGTGCTTTTTAAGATTATCCTATGAGTTGACATATCTTGTAGCTGTGTATCCAGGGAAATTTATATCTGGTCCAAAGAAGAGTGAACTAAGGATAGGTCAGTCTTCAGCGTTCTTCACATATGTCAAATCGAGCATGTTCAGGAGTGCTGTAACTATCGATGGAACCACTCCCCCACCACTATTAGACAACAAACTAGGTTTAAGTGATGAAAATGGTCCTCAGTACGTGCACGTGGACAATAAAGTTAGTCCAGGTGAACAGGACTATACTCAGGCTCAGGAAAACTTTCATAGCAATGATAGCTTCCTTGATTCAATGTCGTTGGACGGGTATTCTACTCCCCTGCCAGAATGCTCTCAGCAAATGAACTCAAAGACAATATCGGAGCTTTCTGAGCCACAAATGCAACAATCGGGCAATAACTATCATCCTGATGTTTCAGGTTATAACGCGTATTCTGCTTATTCTTATTATCCTCTTTCAGGACCAATGAATCATGTTATGTACCAACAGAACATGAATGATTTGCAAAACCAATATTGCCCACCTCATCACTTGCCAGGAATGGCATCATTCCCTTACTACCCGGTTAGTTTTTGCATACCTGGCCAGATGCCACCCTCAATGCAGCCATGGCCATCATTTGGAAGTTCGTCTTCCAATAATGTAAAGGTAAATAAAGTTGATCGTAGAGAAGCAGCCTTACTCAAGTTCAGGCAGAAGAGGAAGGAACGATGTTTTGACAAGAAAGTGAGGTATGTTAATAGGAAAAAGTTAGCAGAGAGGCGGCCTCGTGTCAGAGGACAATTCGTGAGGAAAATCAATGGGATCAATGTAGATCTTAACGGGCATCCCACTTCTACTGATTTTGATGATGATGATGACTATGAGGAAGAGGAAGATCAAGCAGGCGGAGATTAATCTCCTGAAAACAATTATGCACTTTTCCAACCATGTGGGTATTATTATTTTGAGGTATTGACATGATTTTCCAAGTCACGAAGGCTGTGGATTTGCGTTCATACAGAGCTATTCCATCAGGTATTCTCTATTCATTTCACTTGTGATTCTAGAAGTGGTATTCTTGCACGATTGCTCGTCTTTTTTCAAGTATCACAACTGAAAAGGACAGACATTGTGCTTTTTTTGTAGGCATAAATGCCAAATTTGTAGTACCTGTTTTGTACAGTTATATAAAGAATTTAACAGAGAAATTTGCTCCTCAAATGGTTATTAGGACAATGTTCAAAAGACTACTACTGTTAGGTTACTATGCTTCCAAATTGATCTTATAACTGGTCCAATAGATTGCTTTGCTTTTTAGCAACACTAGTTATGAAGATGATGCCCAGATGTTTACTGTGGTCATTTAAAGGGCCAAAAACGTGATTCAGAATTAGAGAGAAAAGACTGAGAACATGCAATGGAGAAAAAGGTAACTCCACACGCATTTACTAATGTTGTAAAAGAGTGCATTCAAGAGTGCTTATGCTCGACAAAAACCGTTGGGAAAATTTCATGGGAAACTGGAGTAGGAGAGCTAATGGGCGAGCTTGAAGTAAAGGATCAAAATGATTGCAAGAACCAGGACTGCAACAATGGAACCTATAATCCATTTGTTCCTGTTCATTCTCCTCGACATTGATGTCAGAACTTTCTTGCTCCTGCCTATAGTATCGTCCACCCCATGGAGCTGCAAAACAAATATTGTTCGTAAACTTTTGCATGATAAACCTAAGTGAGTCTATAAACCAAACCAAACCAAACCATACGAACTTAGTATATGGAGGTGGGACCTAGAAGGGTTTTGGGATGTAAGTAGACCAGTCATCTATCTCAAGGAGTAGGAGTGGTCATTTCGTGAAGGAATTTGCCCAAAAAGTTTTTAAAAAAAAAACATAGATTTTGAAAGTGATGGGCCTAAATCTAGTGCTAAGGGAATGTGGGCAAACATAACATGGCATTGAGCTCTTTGACCAGATTTACAGAACGGAAGCAAAAGAAATGGAGTGGCGTACGGTGGTATTTGCATGGAGGAGAGACTGACGCTGCTGGTGTAGATCGTGAAGGATTGAAACACCAAGCTCCTCAGTTTCCAGCATTGTTCTTCTGCTTTCCTTAACTGCATCTGTCGACTTGTTTAACCTCTCCGTTGTCATCATTAGTCGCTCTCTCTGATCAGCAGACACCTGTTTCACCATCATTCATTCACCATTTGATCTAGACTAGACTGACGGGTAAATTGGTCATTTATGTCATTCAACCGTTTATTCCACATTAAAAAAAAACAAACCAACAGTTTTTCTGCTTAATGGATAGTAGCAAAGTGCCATAGATAGATAATAGGTCTAGGGTGTTTTGGTTCTCACTGGTGCTTGCCATAACTATAGTTTGAGGAGATAGAAAACCTGCATTGCGTCTGCCCTTCCCGAGTCCAAAAGCTCGTCTCGAGCAGCCAGATTAGCATTGCCTGACTTGAGTCTCTTCATTTCACTTTTCAGATTGTTAAGGTCGTTTCTATATTCGCGTATCTTGGCAAGAAGCGAAGCTTTCAGGCCAGGCGGCATGCTCCTAGCCTCAAGGTCCATTTTCCGCAACTATGCCAAGAACACCACATCAGTTTAATGTGACAAGAAGAAGAAGCAAGAGGATAAAATTAAGCCATAACAAGGACATGTTAGGATACCAGAGCCTCAGCCTCCTCTAACCCTCCTGCTATTTCTGAAACTTTCTGTTTCTTCTGTTCTGAATACAATAAAATTTCAGAAGGGATCACCAAGCAGTTGAAAGTGAACATCAGATTAGATGGATTGGAATCTACACACACACACATATATATATATACTCTATATATAAAGCATTTCCTAAGCTCTCTTTTCAAGATAGATCCTAGTGGTTAGATTACTAAACTTAAGTTTAACCATCAATGAAAGGAGAGAAGTAAGCCCAAGACACAAACTTGGATACTAAGAGAGATGGTAAATCAGTAAGGGGTCGCTTACCAAATACCTACCCGGTAAGTGCTTACCAATAAAATTTAACACTATTATATACTTACCGAGTAAGATTTTAGTCCACCAAAACGACATCGCATGCAACAATTTACCCGGTAAGTGCTTACCATGGTAAGAGTTGTCGCCCTCACTTACCGGGTAAGACTCTTGGTCCTTGTCTCGCCTTTACCGGATAAGATTCTTGGTCCTTACCATATTCATCGCTATGAGGTAAGTAAGCGCTTACCCGAGTAAGCGTTTGGTAAATAGGCTCCTAAATTGGCTTAAATTTACACTGGAATCTACACATAGATTGCAAAATGGACAAAATGGTAATGGAAAAGAGGGTGACCTCCATCAAGAACAGCAGCAGATGTAGAAATTCGTGATAAATTGGCAGAAATCTCGCAGTATTGACGCTCATATCCTTGGAATACCTGACTCATGATACCTGTCAAAATCACGCACGTTCAAATGCATGATCATACGATATTCATCACAAATTGAAATATATATATATATATATATATATATATATATATGTATGTATTTAATCACATTATAGAGTGAAATAGAGTTGGAATGGATGAAGATTGATTACCAGAAAACAATCGGTAAGTGACCGGCGGAGAGAGTGGCGATGATGGTATGAAAACAAGTTCTCTGACCAAATCAATGTCAGGTACGGACCACCAACTTATATAATTCCAAAACTGCCCTTATGCTTTCTTTATGGTTATTTTGGATGAAGATTTCATTTTACCTCACTTTTCTCCTTTCAATCAAAATACACCACTTGTGAAATGTATTTTATGAATTATGAATTAAATATAATTTAATTCATAAAAAAAGTGTATTTTGCAAATTGTAAAACGGATAATTGTGAAATTTTCAATTTACTTATGATAGTTTAAGGTGATTAAATGAAAATTAACTTGAATTTAATAAATAATAATGTAAAAGTCATGTATTATAATCTTGATCACAGGAAAACTAATTTAAATTTCAATAATAAAAATAAAAATGTGAAAGTTATGTTTAAACCAGGATATGATGAAATATTCTATGATAAGAGATAATTCGGCCATCTTCTTTGCTTGTCATATGACCAAAGCCAAATGTTTTGAACTGGCATAATAGACAAGACATAGACAAGATGGTCACAATGGCTACATGAGTTTTGATTCTAGTCCATATGTAGAAGGCTTCATGATGTAACCATATAGAGGATCAAAACAACATGGAACCGACTAATAGAAAAAGGTCATGATGGAACTGTGTTTTGGAATTTGGATGATTACATGTTGTGGGAGTTCTACAACAACTGGACTTCAATACTCTCTTTAGTATGGATCCTTCGTCTTCTTAAAGGCTATTTTGGAGAGTAATATAATGGTATTCCACATATTCTCATATGGTATAAGAGTCAAGGTCTATCACTTAAGGAACTCAACACTTTTGGACAATGTGTCTGTCTAGCCTTTGTTGCAGGGGCATGTTGGAGCCCCTCATCGACTACACTTGAACGGTTTTTCTTCAATATATGTTGGATCCCTCTCTTCTTCAAAGGCTATTTCCAAAAGTAATCTAATGGGGTTCCGCATATTATGACAAATGTTATACCCTAATTTCTTGAGGTTGCAATGTCTTGCAAGTATCTTAAATAACAATAAACATCATGAATATCTTACAAACATCTTAAATGATAAGTTTTATTAATATTTTTGTAACTTATGTAGCTTAAATAAAGTTGTCTTGGACATAAAGTAAATTTCAAACTGGTTCAATAAATGAACTCTCGGAGTTCTCAACTCCTTCAATACCATGTGGATCAACGTTGTCCTTCTTTCATCAATCACCAAGTACAAAGTTATCAGATATATATCGATGCATATCTCTTCCATTTCTCAGCACAGTACAGGGGCACTTTGGTGCATATATTGACCCATCTTTTTCTCAACAGTTACCCGCCATCTCCATCAGTATCCTGGCACTTGACCCAAAAATTAACAAAATCTTTTAATACATAACAACTTTAACAGTTCATGTTTTCACATAAAAGGTTCAGGCTTCCTCTTCAGCTCTTCCATTTGCACGCTAGGCATGAAAACTTGCAAAATTTGTACTCATGATATTATCTACACAAGGCATGACACCGTTCTAGGTACTCTTACATTTTATTTTATACTGACATTAACTCAGCTTTCATTCTTACCCTGAACGGATCACTGTTACACCGAAAAAAGGCATTACTTTTACAAATAAAGTTGAAAATTCTTCTTGTTTACCAATTTTCACTTAATTGTGACTTACGATATATGGACTCTTCGAAAACCTTAAAAAAACATAATGACCTCAATTGATCAAACATTTCTTGTTAACCCGTTTAGCCATTCCGTTATCAATGCTCCACATTTTGTGATACAACTTTTTTTATAGTTATGTATTTAAATGTAATTTTAAGTTGGAATTTTTTTTATGGGTTTTAAATTATTTTACAGAACTGGTGATTTTATATAAGTTTTGTTTTCTTAAAAATAATAGAAATTTTTTCAGACCCGTAATCAAGCTCGGCCAGTTTATTATAGGCAGGTAATAGCAAGTCTTCAAGCCCATAAATAAGGGGCTTGGGTTTGTGTTATTAGCCTTATTTGAAAAGAAAAGTTAGGCTCGACTTCAGTCTAACCGAAACCCACAAATGATTAGGTTTACTCAAATCTCAAGCGTTATTACAACTTTTTAAGGAGCAATATGCACAAAATAGCAATCTACTTTCATAAATTTTTTTATTATAGCATTGTATTTCCAGATTTTCTTATTACAAGAATGTACTTCAAACTATTTTTTATTAGAACATTGTACTTTGAAAAATTTACTCATTATAGCATTGGGTAACTTTTTGATTTAAATTTATCCATTATACCAAGTTTCGATGCTACCTCATTGTCCATGTAAGTTGTTCATATGTACTATAATGATGTGACTTTTTTATTACAATATTGTACTTTCAAAATTATTTAATACCTAAAATTCCCATTCTGTATAGGTTATATCTATACTATATTATAAAGTATTTGATAAAAACTCTTAAAAATCATTCTTTATGCATGGAGTATTGTGTATTAATGATATTACTTAAAATTTAAGATTACAAGTAAATTATGCATAAATACAACTTATTAAAGTTTCATTTTTGAATTCGTATAATAAACTGTAGATAAACATATCAAATACAGGATAAACATATCATTTTAAATATAAAAAAATCTAAAATATAACTAAGATAACAGGCGAATTCTCATAATCATTATTTTTATAAAAACCAAAAATAAATTGCTTCACTATTTGACCTAAATAAAATTTAAATAAAAATTTGAATTAAAAAATTTATACAAAAAATCAGAGAACTTTTAAATAGTTAATTTGATATTAATATCGATATATTTTATTCAAAAGTAAAAACATTATTTTTCTTAAAACCGCATAAACCGCATTATATCAACAGAGACGAAAAATAGAATAAAACATTAAAATAAAGATGTATCTCGCTGTATTACGCGAGTACAATTCTAGCATGTGATTAATAAAAGAAACAATATTAACAAATTCCCTATTCATAGTGATGAATTTTTTTCTCAAACCTAGTTGCATTTCAAACGTTTTAGCAATATTACACAACATGTCCTTCTAATTATTGAATTGGCATTTGGCTTCATTACATTCCAAGTTTATATAACTACACATTTAGTCCTTGCATTTGACTTTTTGTTTACTTTACTTCAAACTTGACAATCTCTACAGAAGATCTTGGTATATGAAACCTTGTTGCGTATACGTCGTCCCGTGCGTTTGACATGTACGTTATGTCACATTTATTAATAATGTAGTATAAATACTAGATCTTGAATAAGTTTCGGGATCAACTCTTTCATAAGATACTTTTGCTACAACAGATTTTGAATTTCCATCATACTCTTTGAATCAATTATTAAGTTAAGAGGCTATGAATACAAACAGGGTATGAATCAGGTTTCAAACGGTAATATCATTTGACTATAAGAAACAAATATATTAATATTTTATTATTTTTCACAGAATCATCAATCGTCTGTTAGTTAGTTAGTTAGTTCATTGATTTTTATACATGAGGTATGTGTTCAAATCTCTTGTTGCTAAAAAGTTTCAAAAAGATAATAAATATGAAATTAAAAGCTAAAAACAAAGAAAATGACACTAATAGAATTCGAACACGGGTCTAAAGTGGAATAAAAGTCTTGCAAACTACATTGTATCCTCATTGTAGTTTCAAAATATATACAGTGACACAACAAATTGATACAATGACAATTTTCACGACCCTATAATTCTTTACACCACGATAGAGAAACGAAATGGTGGCACGAGTCACCGTATGCTCTACATTGGGTCCATCCCTGGTATGAATGAGTTAAACGTTTCCAAGTATACAAATATAGATGTGATGATGGCCTTCTTCATAGCTCATTACATAAAAGGGTTTAAAATAAACCAGATTTAAGTCATCAGTCAATATTACAATCCAGATAAATATATGTATACTTCCGTTAACACATAATAATTTCAAATATGATGCCAATGCATTCGAGTAAAGCCTCATTTTATTACAAATGATCTAACATTCAAATACTCGTTTAAAAATGAAACCAATTTATATAATTGTTTTATTTTTTTTATTTTTTTGCTTTTCGTGTGCCCTAAGCAGAGACAACCTTTGAAAAAGAGAGAGAGAAAGTCAAATTCATACGAGAACAGTAACTAAATAAAATACAAAGAAAAGTAAATAATGATCGAATCATATGGGATTTACCAGACTTTGGCCGCGACCGCACGTCGTACTCGCACCCTTGTGTCCTCCATTTTTAATTCACAAAGTACTATACATTTTTACACAAAGTCTTAAAAACAACTCATAATGCATTAAATACTACTACTTTATGCATTTAGTATTAAAATCTCTGAATTTAGAATTAAAATAACATATAGTACAAGTTACCAATGCACATTATTATCTTTTCTTTTCATATTCCCAAGATACTTTTGACACATTTCACTCATGCCTTCACCCTTTCATACCTCTATGTCTTTTCCTCATCTCCCAAACTGATATTCATTATGAGTTATTAAAAGTTCTCCCATTCAATTGCCCTATAACTCTTGGTCTCGTTCTCGATCTCTTGATTCTTTGCTCTTGGTATAAATCGAACACATTTGTGAAGTCGTTTAAATATGTTGGATTTTAAACTGTCATACAATTTTTTTCATCGATAGGCTGTAATTGGAACCATAACTCTTATTTATTCAAATTGTATTAATATGTAAAGACCAAATGTAATTTATATCATCGTTAAATCTTCTCTAATAAAACTAGTGAAACTTCAAAATCGTTAAAATTCACAGCTCCCGCCGTATTGCACGGATACACAACTAGTATGTATATATATATACACACACACAATAGAAATCATACCTGATTTCATAAGATATTTTTTTTTTGATTAACTTGGATATCCAACCCGCTATACGAGCCGACTAATCCCAGGGCGACCACTTGTTTTGCAGATAGCCCGGAGTAACCGCATTTAAACCTCCGTGGCCAGAAGGGGATTTTTATTCCTCCTTGGATTTGAATTTGGAACCTCCTGGTACTTTTGACCTTTGAAGCCAAGCTTAAACCAATCAGGCATCACCTCGTTATAAGATATTCTTTTTTGAAGTAGCGGAGCTATTTCAAGATAAAGTGGGGTCCCTATTCAAAAACCTTGATTGTAGCAACTATTGAAGCAAAAATGTTGAGGTCTTTTCTATATGGGTTCCGAAAAAGCTTTGGAACAAGCACCATTGTCAATACTCTTACACACACCAAATACTCAATCACACCTCCTGAAAAGTTGGGTTTTATCAGTAACCTAAATACCGTTGGACCAATGACCTTTTGGTGTCACCCACTTTCCTTCCATCAATGCATCTCACAGGACAATCGAGTGGATTGTTCCAAGAACTCGAAAAGAGTTGTCGATCTTCTGGGCTTCAGAAAGGAACCAGATTGTTGCTAGTGTTTCTAAACAACCGCATAGCTTTCTTGAATTGGAATAAAGTAAATTCAGAGGGTGGTGTGCATCTATGTTCTGATTCTGATTGTGCAGCATGCATATGTACATTTATATGCATCAAATATGTGGGCTAAATGTGGGTTATGCAAACAACCAGTTTCAATAATACTAGACTACAATAAGCACTTGTCTGATTAGCTAACAAACAATGAATCTTGTACCAGAAATCAGCAGCAATGATGCCCAGATGAATCTTGATCAGCTGCCTTACTGATTCAGGCAGAGGTAGCCTTGGATATCATGGGAATTCCATGATGCGTGGCAAGCAATAGTTCATTCATTCGAGCGATCTGATGCAGTAATTGATGTATTTTCTGCAAACCCAATAAATTAGATCATTAAGAATCGTAAGAATGCTTGGTTAAACTTAGATGCAATGTAGTGGGATCTTATTAGTTCTCTTAGGCATTTTAACAAACACCTGATGAACAAAACGTAAATAGGTCAATGCTTTGCAATTGAACAAGAAGATCGAACCTCATCTTTCTCCTTGATAATTCGGATCAGTTCAATGATGCTCTCTCTCCTTAACCGGCGCCGGCGCCGGGACCTCAAATAAAATAGTAACAGCAACACCACTGAGCCGGCTAGGGGGAAGTGTGACCGAAGTAACCCTCCTCTGTTCAAAGACAAACTTTGAAGGAACGAGACGATGCCGACGAACTTGAAACGTAAAGCCTCCATCCCCGCATCCCACCACCCTACTGCGATGGATTCCGCCATCGCTACTGGTCCCGGCCGGGGACTCGAGACAGGGGACGGTGGTACGGCTCGTTCGATATCGATTTCTCGTACATCTTGGTGATGGTGAAGGTGAATGCCTTCGTGGTTCATTGGAGGGAATACGACGGATGGTTGGTGATCTTCATGTATCGTTGACCATATTTCTCCGCTTCCATGTGGATCTGATAACGACGGAGATTGAGATTGAGGATGAGACTGAAATTGAAATTGATCGGGAATGGGACGTAATTGGAATCGTTCCCATTCAATTAACGCATCGGGAGGTACAAATAAGGTGCGTTCTTCGTCTTCTTCATCGTCTGCCATTGTTGAGCTGGGGAAAGCTTCTTGCATTTTTGAGAAGTTTCGAACCAGGCAACATTGATAAATTAGAGTTTTGTGAATTTTCATTATTGGTGTCTCATCTATTGCCAAATTGCTGAATCAGTCCCTTATCTTCAAAACTTGATGCATTTGACATTTTCTTGTTAAAAGACGGTCAATATGTCAGAGAAACTTAGAGCGATCGATCATGAAACTAGAAATAAAGCATTTACCCGAGCAAATAATTAAGAAATGAACTTATAGTTACTGTCTATTAACAATATAATGTTTTGTAATTGGGAAAATACATAAAATAACAGCTAAATTTCCATTATGTACAGTTTGATTACTCAACTTTTCGGTTATGTCATAACGTTTTGACTACTTTGAAAGTTGATTGTTGAATTAAGAGTCGTTTACTAAACACTTACTTGATAAATGCTTAACGCATAAATTTCCTCATCGGATGAACATGAGAAGGGCCAAGAATCTTACTGGTAAGAGCAATGAGAAAAATAGAGAGACTTACCAAGGTAAGCGCTTACCTAGTAAATTGTTGCATTTGATATGTTTTGATGTACTAAAATTTTACGCATCAAAATAAATTATAGTGTTGACTCCTATTGGTAAGCGCTTACCGGATAAGCATTTGGGTAATCGGCGACTAAGTCTAGGAGTGCTTTTGCAAATCTTACAAACATATGTAATATAAAATATGGTCGATTATTCTCTCCTATGTCTCCTAACTCCTCCTTTCGTTACTCTTCATCAATAACCTTTGCTAATCTTTTGAATGTTTCCTCATCGTAACCATCCCCACCACCAAAACATCAACAACCAATTGCCTAGATTTTGATTACCACCTCTCTATCACTGAAACCCTCGAAAGTAATTTCATCTTCTAACAGCAGCAACAAACCTTAAGTTAAACCTTTAACAACTCGAGATAGAATCTCGAAAGGATTCTTTTTAGCACCGAAATCCTATTGCTACTTCAGAAAATACCAGCGTTTCAACCACAAGGGTGGTGTCTGATTGGTTTGAGCTTGGCTTCAAAGGTCAAAAGTACCAGGAGGTCCCAGGTTCAAATACAAGTAGGAATAAAAATCCCCTTGTGGCAACGGAGGTTCAAACGCGATGACTCCGGGTTATCTGCAAAGCAGGTGGTCACCCTGGGATTAGTCGACTCGCATAAAAAAGGCCAACGTTCTTAAGGCCAAAGAGTCGGTGGAAAATGGGGGAAACCATAGATACTCTATTTTGTCCAGACTCAAAGCAGAGTGCATTTGATATTGCAAGGGACTATTTTGGTTGTATAATACATGTTTGTCATATGTTGTCACATCTTAAAATTCAAATTAAAATACATTTATGATTTTAAAATTGTAAGAGCATCTATGAACTTTATATAACAACCGACTTCCAAAAGAAAGGTATTATTATTATAGGCCACATTGATACAAAAGAAAAGTAGAATTATCAACGTGGGATATATTAAAATTTTAATGCATTTTGCTCTTTTTTTGAATTTATAAAACAATGTATTAATGGCTGATGTTTATGTGAAAATATGTCTACCAAAGTTGTTGATATGATAACCAAGGTGTGGGCCATTTGGCCATTAAAATAACAAATGGCCAAATTGGGATCGGCACGATCTAGGTTCGATTGAGACCGGTTACAAATTTTAAGGAGTTAGATTGGGACTGAGACCGGTTATGTACAGGACATATTTTTTTAAGAAAATCAAATTTTTATTAGTTATAATAACTAATTTTGCATGATTTTTAATAAGATTTTTAAGTTTTTTCAAACTTTTCAATAATTTTTTTTTATAAATACATTATTTAAAGTGTATTTTAATGCTAGTTTTCAAAAATCTTGATTAAAAATATTAGCATTTTTGTATAAAACCATTTAAAAGGTTTAAAAACAAGACCGGATTTGGGACTGACTCGATGGGATAGTGACGGTTTTTACCGTGATCAACCCTAAGATTTTTTGTCCGCATCAGTTGACCCAACTTTGATGGGACAAATTACGTACCAAGATCAATTTAGGACCGGCTTGCTGCATCCTGATGCCCATTTTTGGTCATCTCCAAAATAAATTCTTTTGGTTTATGTAAGGGGTTGTTTATTAATATCTTACCACCTCTTATTTGGTAAGAGACTTTTAGGAGTTGTTCAGTTGTGCCTTAATGAGTTGTATAGCCTATGTGGTTTATTCGCTCAACCATAAATACTTGTTCCGTTGTGGCTTATTCGGTAAGCAAATGACTTAATTGCTCAACTCGTAAACAATACTCCTTTAGACTCAGCCATTTAATTTCCCACTAATTCCCCAACTACCCTTCCATAAAGAAAACCCTATTTTACACGGTCCAAGTTTCAGCATTAGTTCACCTTTCGAGTTTCCATTCAGGCTTCATGACGCTCATCTTCTTCAACCTCTGCACTCTGATTTCTCCTTTGGTTTTTCGATATCTAGTTGTTGTTCACGATTTGTAGCTGTGGTTTACTGATTTCTCCAGGCTCACACACCTTTGCTTCTTCAATCGCCAAGCTCTTGATTTCTACAGGTGCTGTTTATTTCTGCAAGCTTTTGATTTCTCCAACCACCATTAAAACCTTTGCTTCTCCGATCATCAGTCTGTTTTCCCGTCACCAGTCAACTTTCTTCTCCTCAAGAACCTCTCAAACTTGTCGCCTAGATCTAAAAAAATCCCTAAAAGAATATGGTTCTGACCCTTCTTGAAGAAGAAATCTCATCTCATAGGTCTCTCAAACCCTCCATTTCTACGAAGGAGAGATTTAAATGCTTTAAACTTCATCTCATTCTGAATATGGTACTGACCTATAGTCTATAGTAATTATAATGTTTATTTGTATTACATATTAATCAAATTTAAAATCAACAAATTGGAAAAACAATACGCGTTGCTATTTATAAAAAATAATATATCATTTATTTTGTAATTTTACAAATTTTAACCATATATAAATAGTCGTATGGTTTGTCCATATAAAAATCGAGTAAAAGCTTTAAAAATTCATGTGCTAATTCTTAATTTTTATTTTATCTATATTTCCATATAATCTATACTATTTTATTAAGCAAATTCATCAAAAGTCTTAAAGTCTTAAAATTCTAAATGACCAAGATACCCTTTTCACTTTTTCATTTTTTCACCCCTTCCTCTCCTCACATACACTCATCCCCTCACATACATTTACCTCTCACATTCAACTAATTTTTTTTAAAAATTATAATTTTAAATTTACATTTTATATCCCTATAATTAGTTAATTATTTATTTTACGTCATTTACTTTTGAATATTTCATTTTAAACCTTTATCAAATTAACATACATAATCGTATATCAAATAAAACATGTTTAAAAAATACATTTTTATTTTAACAAGTTACACTATTATAATCGTYTCGTTAATACTTTCGAAATGAATCCAATATTGAATAGTTTTTGATTTAATTATATTATTATATATTATATATACTGTGAAAAAATATTTTTAATGTTTACGATTTATATTTTTATAGTTATTTATTTATATATATGCTATACATTTTGGGATTAGACTGTCCAAATTGCACTGAATAATATGTTTTTGGGTTTTTTTGAAATATATATATACATGTATTAATTCAACCTTAATCTGAGTTTCTGGACAAGAAAGAGGGTAAGCGGTTGAAATTTCATTCTAAAACCCATCTTTTTTGGTCTTTTCATAGCTTATGATCTGTCAAATTTGTAGTTTTCTTTATTGGTTTTGAGTGTTTATCTTAAAACTCAAGTTTTTTTGTTCTTTGCTCTTGGTGTAAATCGAACACATTTGTGGAGTCGTTTAAATATGTTGAATTTTAAATACATTGGATTTTAAACTGTCATACAATTTTTTTCATCGATAGTCTGTAATTAGAACCATAACTCTTATTTATTCAAATTGTATTAATATGTAAAGATCAAGTGTAACATATATCATCGTTAAATCTTGTCTTATAAAACCAATGAAACTTCAAAATCATTAAAATTCATGGCTTCCGTCGCATTGCACGGGTACACAACTAGTATATCATTAATCCTTCTGCAACTTTAAGAATTCAGAAAATAATCCATCATTTTTTCCGACTTTAAAACTTAAAAAATAACTAATCAATTCTTATTTAAGTTTCAAATATTCAAATAATAATTTCATCAATTTTTCAGCAATCTCTAAAAATTCAGATAATAACCTGTCGCTTCTTAATAAAACTTCAAATATAAACTAGTTTAAATTGTATTATGTTTTATTTATAAAATATAATATTGTTGTAGTAAAAATATATAGAAAAGAAAATTTGAAAACATAAGTACAGACAACTGTTATCCAGTAATCGTCTTACGAATTTTATTTCACTTGATTGAGTTGTAATATTTTTAGACATGTTGTACTTTATTTGTTGATTTATCAATTAACTAATTTTGATGATTTTTTATATTAAATTATTTTATCTTTGTAGTTTAAAACATTTATTTAAAACAAAATAAATATATAAGTTATCAATTAATTAAAATGTTAACATTATAATTAATAAAAATAAAAAAAAAATTTTATAGTTATTTGAATTAATTTATAAATGATTAGTTGGTAGAAAATTTATAAAACATAAATTTAAAATAAAATTAGAAAAGATATAAATTCCAGTTATCTTAATTTAGAACATAAATTTATAAGACAGTTAAAAAATAAATTTAAAAGAAATTACTTGATTTTTTTTTTAAAATGATAAAATAATTAGCATTATTTTTTTTTTTTACATAAAACAATGTTGACCTATAAAGGGGTTGTGCTTTACATGTAGGAGGGGTGCAAATATCCCCACCCTAATACAACTGATTTGATAAATAATAATTATCGGTCAACGTTTATCCAAGTCAGATCTCTTGTACAAATCAGACATCTTACCCCATTCAGCACTTAGGAGGTTGTTCACGAAATTT